TTCAGTTTAATTTCATTTGTTTATTTCAAGTTGTTCTACTTTATCTAGTTTAATTATTTATTGTTATTTTATTTTGTTAGAATTAATATTGTTTTCAATGTTTGTTGTTTTCTATTGTATAATTTTTACCAATAAAATGGTCACACATATTGTTGATCATTTTAATTAAACTTAATGTATTTTAAAATCAAATAATAAAATATAGGATATACAGCTAGAATGAATATTTTGTTTCAAAGTTACAATGACAGTGTTATTTTTATTTTTATTATATAATTTGTACCAACAAAATGGTCACACATATTATTATTTATTTTAATTAAACCTAATGTATTTCAATTAATATCATTTTTAAACTTAAATAATAAAATATTAAATATACAGCTAGAATGAATATTTTTTTCAAAGTTACAATGACAGTGTTATTGTAACATATTATTGATTATTTAACTTTTAATTAAACCTAACGTATTTCTATTAATATTATTTCTAAATTCAACAAATAATAAGATATAGGCTACAGTACAAAAAAAAAATCTGTATTTAAATACTATTATAGATATACGTAAATAGAAGAAACATTAAAGTTTTAATACAACGCCCTTTTTTCAATAGGGCATTCACGAATATAAAGAAGAAGAAGAAGAATGGGAATAAGAATAAGAAAGGGCGTTGACGTTTTAAAGTTGTCTCGCAAGAATGAATTTTGTTGAAGGTTCCTCTCGAGCACGTATTCCCGACGAGGTGCACCCTTATCGTCGCATTTTAAATACGATAACGTTATATCTGGTGATTCTTTGGGTTGAACGCAGCCCCCGAAGCACAAAAGGGAAGAATTTCCTGTGGAAAGGCAGCGGTGGTGGCAATGGTGGTGGTGGCAATGGTGGTGGTGTTGGTGATGGTGGTGGTGGTAGAACCGCCGGATTCGACAGAAACGGCGAACATCCAATCTCCGAGTAGCTTTGATCGATGACACGCGGACAAGTGGAAGAGACGAGTAAAGGTTCCGTAGGAGTGCGCGAGGGGGTTGATAGTGTCGGTGGGTGAGATTGCCTTGTCACCTTGACAAATGGTTGGAGAACGAAAGGTACCAGCCGAACGTTCAAACGCCCTCCGCTAAGGTCCTGCCAATCCCTTAAATTTTCTTCCTTCTATTTCCCTTCCTTCCTTTCATATATATATATATATATATATATCTTTCTTTCTTTCTTTCTTTTTCTTTTTTTCTTGCTCAGCACCTCACCTGCACGTCTCCCACGAGACCCTCAAAGACACCCGCCTTTGCCACCCTTGGTGTCTATTAGTCATTAACTATCGACAACCCTGGCAAATAGCTGCATAGTTAAATCAGCCCTTCGTAAAACCGTTCCTTAATTCAAAAGGGAATTTCTAAATCAATTATATCGTTGTTTCTTTCTTTCATTCTTTTTTTGTTGACTCATCATCCATGCTACAAGGTGATACGAGGTCCTTTTTTTTCATGTTTTAAACATAGATCTATTTCATATATGTATATATGTTGTTTTTAGTTTGTCGTATAGTATTATAATTATTGAAATTATTATACTATGAAGAAATAACTTGAAGGGAAATGATTCGATGGTAGAGGAACTAAGTTACACAACTTGTTCTCAACCATGTTTCATTATACTTCAATGTTTATCATTTCACCAAGTTATGCTCCATTTACGGTTAGAATATGCGATTCGTCATTCGAACACACTGTCCGTCATACTAATTTCATAGCAACGAATATATACGTCAGTTTTGTGTTCTACACTTTTCTTGATGAACATTAAATATCGAGTTTGACGATAACTCGTTGATTAGAATTAAAATGATTTTAATTAACCAAACTTAACGTATTTTCCGCGGTGCTATTTGCTAAATTGCAGTTTATTTTTTAAGTAATTTTGTTGTTGATATTAACAATTTTTAAATCAAAAGAAACAAAACACTATAATTACATGTCCAGTGTGTGGGATATTTGATGTGCTGTAACTGCATATGTTCGTCTTATGTAAAATACGCGGTATTTTATGTTGAGGACCACTATAGTGGTCTGTAGTATCTCAGTGGAATCTTATGGAGGGCCACTATAGTGGTCTGTAGTAACGAAAGTGTTAATTCTCGATAAACTTGATTATACTATTCTTAATAAATAAATATATTATTCTAATGGATTATCAATTTGGAATCCCTTTTACTCTACTTTCTTCTTCTTCTTCTTCTATTCGTTCATTTTATAAATGAAAAAGAAATTCATGACTCGACAAGAATCTTAGAGTAATAATAATCTTATCGATTAGTCTCGTAAGACGATACGAATAATAAGAATTTTGATAAATTGATTTGCTTGTGTAATAAGAGTCCAAAAAAAAAAAAAAAATAAAAAATAAAAGGAACTTGTCTTCAAAGTTTCATTTTACGTTGCTAAGTGTAATTCGTAGGAATATAAAAACAATTCATTTTCATATCAGCATTTTTTTTTTAAATATTTTTTATTCTCTTAACTCTTTGAGGCACGGTGTGATTAAAAGTGTCTCACCTTTTTGATACACCATAATGCACGGTGGGACGACGTTTTTAGTCCCACCTTGAAATATTATTGCATATATATTTCGTCTTATTTACGCAAAACAATTGTTTATTAATCCTTAAAGTGCACACTTGGTAAAAGTTAGTTAAAGTGCACTCTGTGAGTGTTTGACACCCCAACGTGTTTGAACGCGTCTCCTAAATCTGCTATTTTAATATTTAGACCTCGCAATTTTTTTTAAAAGTAATTTGATACATCTTTTTTCAAATAGAATAGGTTTTATACCCGATCTGAATGAACACTAGATGGCGACAAATAAGCCCATTTTGTTCGAATTCAGTACCGTTTTCGAGAGATCAAAAAATTTGTTGGGGGTGTCAAACACCCCATGTACACTTTAAGAGTTAAAACGTAATCAAATTTCTCTATGCAACATAGAGCTATTTTTAATTATCTGAAATTCTGTACAACAAAGAGTTAACAGAACAAGTTAATATTTCTTTAATTGTAAGAGAGAAAGAAAGTTGTCGGATTGAAAAATCACATTCCAGAGATTCGCATTCCCACACGCGTGACAATCGTGCGTGACAACGTGCGTGATTTCCACCCTCGACGTGCTTGCATACCCCCAATGGACAGATGGGGTTCTCACGAGACCCTTTTCACGTTACCACCATACATCTTGTCATTATCTTCTTTCAACTTCGTTAGGGACGTTCAAAAACCGAAAGACCTATGCTTGACTTTTAAATTAAATTCTATATAAAACTTTCATTACGTTATTTCGTTTTATTATTAATTAACAAATTCGTTACTTTAACCTTTATCATTAAACTAAATAGAATAATTATAACATTTAATGAATTTAAAAAAATAATAATAATAATAATAAATAAAATCATCAAATTAAATGAAACAATTTGAATGAAATATTGAATTGTATGACCTGTTTAGTGCACACATCGATTAACTCGATAAAACAAAAATAAAGTTGAGAAATACGATGAAATAATCTATGGTATATTGTTCTTAAAATTCCTTTCAATGGGCAACAAAATTTTAACCGTTTAATGGTGTTAATCTTTATTATTCAGAAAAATTATTATAAATATAAAAAATTATGACGATTATACCAAGTGTTTTGACACTTAAAATTGAAGATTTTTCAAAAAGTGGAGAGTTAATCGATGTGTCCATTGAACGGCTCATATGACGTTTGTTTGACAATAATAATTAAAATTAAAAAAAAAAAAACAAGTCAATGAAAAAAGTGAGATATTACTCGTGTGTGAGATAAAACAAAGAAAAAGAAAAAGAAAGAAAGAAAAAGAAAAAGAATATAATTATATAAAGAAAGATAGACAGAGACCATTGGATCGTCAATCACAACAACCCCTCGCGATTTAACGAACGACTGATTTAAAGAGCCCGAACGAAAAAATAATATCCCTTTTTATTTGATAGGAGAAGTCAAAGAAAAGGGACTATATATATATATAAACGAAAGAGGGAGACGATTGAAAAGTACCTTTCGATCCTATATACATATATGTAACACATCCATATTCCCATATATTTACGTAGCCAACTACGAGAGTGTAAAAATGTCGGGCCACGACATTGACGGCGTCGTTGCGATCGGTTTGACAACGGACTCGGAACTCTCGTAGCAAAACGTTGCTACGAGAAAGAAAATAAAATAAAAAAAAAAATAAAAAAAAAAAACAAGAAAAAGGAAGGAAGAAAGTCGAATAAAACGCATATTCCCTCTTGCGTTTCGTCGACGAGATAATGTATCGGTATGTCGTACCATGAAAGCTCGACGTATCCCGCCTGCGGTGTTTTATTATTACGCTTTTGCGATATGCAAGAAGAGAAACAAATAATAAACGTATCGACACGTTCTATAGTTATATATATATATATATATATATAGTGAAAGAACGAATGAACTAACCAACCAATCCCCAACATATACAAATATAACCTATGTAAAAACATATACACATGTATATAATATTTGTATATTTATAGATACGTATATGAAGTTATTACTAGTTAGTATAAAACCGTGAGTCTCTCTATGAGTAGCCTTCGCACCTTGTATATCTCTTCGTGTGTCTCCCTCTACCCCTACCCCTCCTTCCCCCTTTCCCTCCTTTCACCCCCTCTAACACTCCTGTCAATTCGTTTATATTCATGTCCAAGCAAGACAACTTCGATAATATTCTTTTTTCATTCTCAATATTGTCTCGTCTCGATAACTTGAAAAGTGTTCTTTTTATTTGTATTTGTTTTGTTTTGTTTGTTTGTTTGTTTGTTTGCAAATCTCCAATTTGCAATCGTTATATTTTGTTCTCTTTTTTTCTTTTTTATTTTCTTTTCGTTTCTAATCGTTACGGTATTTATCTATGATACATTTTTATATATTTAAAAAGTATGATTTGTTTGTTTGTTTCAGGTCTGAAAGTGATCGAAAAATGTTGAACCCAGAAACCGGTTGTTATTCGGAATCTGTTCGAGCATGGTGAGTAAAAAATTTTTTTATTGATTAGAATTAATGAAAATCATTGTTTTGTTTACTGACAATTTATAAAGATCAGGTAGGATAAAAAAAAAAATTAGATGTGTGCAGATCACAGACGATAGAAGTGAAACAAACCTTCAAGGAAAACCAAGCTTCGAGATAGACGTGAATACTTATATCGAAACAATTGAATTGTAATACAGTGCCAACTATTGAAAGAACCTTATAGAACCTAGATAACCTCTAAATATAATTCTTTAAATTAGTTATAAAAAATAATTAAAAAAAATTGCGATAAAAATTGTGCTATCTGCTAAGTTGGACAAAAATCACTAAGTGAAATCAAATAAATTTCATGAAGATAAGTTGAAGTAATTTTGGAATTATTAATGGACAAACATATTGTGACACTGAATTTTTATATATAGAATTAATTAATTAATTAATTAATTATTTTTGTTACATTGGTTTCACGTTATTTCGTTTCACGATTTTCAAATCACCCTGATTCTAAAGAAGTTACCACTTCAAAAAACAATGGTGACAAGTGGAATAAAAAGAAGGTTTAAAGATAAATTGATTTGGAAAAGACAATAATTTGATTTAAAACAAAAAAAACTAAGATAAAATGCAAGATTGTATTTGTTTGAAATCCACGTAAGGTGAAATATTTCAAATCGCGTGACATTTAATCCTTATCCTTATAGAAGGTATCCTCATTAACGCGTAATCTTAATTAGGTACAAAACGGCGTTGCCATGCATGCCAACACCGACAAGGAATAGTTGTTACGTGTATGTTCAACGTTGGTAGAAGCCTTGTACTTAGGTAGGACAACATATATGTAACATGGTTCTCTAATTCTGTACGACGTACGGTTCCGTTGCGTGTTAACAGCAGTAGTAAGCAGCACCAACAGCAGTATGTATGCTGGTAGGTAGGTAAAGGTATACTCTTAACACGACTCTCTCTCTCTCTCTCTCTCTCTCTCTCTCTCTCTCTCTCTCTCTTTACTTTTACGCACGGTTTCACGCTCGTGTCTTACACGCTTCGTTGAGCAAAACGATTTTTCAACCCATTTTTTTATGACTTTTTTTTTTCCATTATAATCGAAATAATTTTCAATCGATTGATTGGACTCTCATATCTGTATAAGTTAAATTGAACTTTTCGACACGTAGTTACACGTTTGGTTTGATTAAAAATTGTTTTGTTTGGTATATTTTAATTTTTTCGGCTACTTGTATAAAATGTTTATAAAATATTAATATATTGGATTTTTTTTTGGGGGGGGGAGGGGAAATATAAGCTGAATTTTAATATTTATATATAATTATTATAAATATAACAATGTAGATAAAATATAAATAATGTATATAGAAGGGACAATATTTGTTTTGATATATTTTAATATATATTTAAAATTATATATTATTATTATTATTATATTAATTTAATAGTACTATTATAATAATAATTTAATACTTCTATAAAATATTTGAAATACCAATATTGGATTGTTCACAAATTACAAAATAAATTTTAAGGAATGTACCAAAGACAATATTTTGATATTTTAAATATATATTTAAAATAATATATTATAATAATAATTTAAAATCATAAAAAAAAAATGTTATTATCAAATATAAATGATTTATAATGAGTAACGTTATTTAAGGAATTTATAGGTCAGATACCTTAAATGAATATTTTATGATCGTAATATTTACCCTTGTTTCACTTTTAAAAGGGCAGTTTTATTTGTCGTAGCATACTGTCGTCATGCTTGCAGCATGTTGTTTTCTTTCTCTTTATCTCCCTATTTTTTTTTTTTTTTCTTCTTTCTTTTTACTTTTCTCCTTTTTGTTGATCTCACCACCCGTAACGGCATCCTCTCACCTTCTCGTAATTTACGATCGTTTCTTGACCGTAACTCTNCAGTTTTATTTGTCGTAGCATACTGTCGTCATGCTCTCTCTTTCTTTCTCTCTCTCTCTCTCTCTCTCTCTCTCTCTCTCTCTCTCTTTCTCACTCAATTCTTTTTACTTTTCTCCTTTTTGTTGATCTCACCACCCGTAACGGCATCCTCTCACCTTCTCGTAATTTACGATCGTTTCTTGACCGTAACTCTTTTTTGCATAATTCTCAGCAGTGTGTCCCGAGGAGCGGCGGGGCAACACTCTGCCCGTTCGTCCGTCCGTCCGTCCGTCCGTCCCGTCCGTCCCCCTTTTCGAACGGGTAATAGTATACCAAGCTTCTCGAGTATTTTTATCGTCTATACGACATCCGTGAAATTCGTAAAATACGAACGGTCATCTTCGCAGATCGATCGTCGTAATTGGTTCTAGTAATTTACTACTACTTTAGTAATAATAGTAGTAGTAGTAGTAGTAGTAGTAGTAATAGTAGTAATAGTAATCGTCATTGGATAGAAAACTTGAAAGAAAGAAACGAAATCATCCTTTAACAGCAACAGCAACAACAACAGCAGATCCGTTTCTAATTTTCTTCCCTTCTTTTGAAAGAAATGTCTCGGGAGTTTTTCGCGAAAAGAAATTTAACGAAAAGAAATATACTCGCGATTGCTATGACGATGATGATGACGAAGGGAAGGGGTTGGAAGGGATAAAGGGGAGGAGTAGTCACGCGCTTAGACGCACGATTATTTATTTTTAACGCTTGTGTCCCGTGCTTGTTCTCTCTCTCTCTCTCTTTCTTTCGTACACACACACAAACACATACACACACATACACACATAGAAACGATTTATCTGCAATTGCGATTCCTTTTCTTAGGACATTAGGGAGGTGATCGCGAGACAGGAGACGTAGGGGGGTGCAGAGACGTAATGCGATTAAGGTCGTTATCAGATGTCGCTTCCACTTCTCGCGTGATGACGTCGACATTCGCGCTCGTTTGTCATCGCGTGACGTCGTCACGGGGGTTGCATGATTTACTTCCGTCTTTCCCCCTTTTCTCGCACCCTCCTCTCCTCCTCCACCTTCTCCTTCTCTTATTCCTCCTTCTCTTTCTACTCGTCATTTCGTTCATTTCTTTTTCCGCTTTTCACCCACCACCTCTTCCTCCTCCTCCTCCTTCTCCTCCATCTTTTCTATTTTTTTTCTCTTAACTCGTCACAGTAAACTTTTCTCAAAATAGAAAACGTTAAGTTGAAGATATAAAGATTGATTTTATATTTTGAGATAACCAAATTTTTAACTTCTACCCCCCCAAATCACTCACTCATCAACCCTTCTGACTATTTTTATTCATTTGGAAATATTTATTTGACAATTTCTATTAGTCAGAGGTATGTATCGTAATTAGTTAAGGGATAGTTCGCGTGTTACATCATAAAGTATATAATGAACATCCGTAATTCATTGAATTCGCCCTACTTCCGACACCTTTTTTTCGATTCGAACGAGAACAAGTTAAAGTGTCCAACATGGGGATCATCGTGTTGTCCTTGGTTATCTTGTTAGTAAAAGGGACATTGAAAGAGAGAGAGAAAGAGATAGAAATAGTTCTATCATGGTCAGAATTCATTGTAGCAGAGGGTGTGGCACAGAGATATAGCGATGATTAGAAGCTACACCCCCTCCCCCTTCCCCCTTCCCCTTCCCCTTCCCCCTTCCTCCCCCATCCTCCTCAAGTCCTTCTCCTACGAGAGTTCGAGGGTGGATCCGGAAAATTCATGGAGTTACTTAGGATCTTCGTAGCTCAATCGTTTATCTTGCGACTATGGGCTCCGAGAAAAAGGGGAACAGGAAGAGAAAGAGAGAAAGAGAGAGAGAGAGAGAGAGAGAGAGTGAGAAGGAAAAGGAAGTCGTTATGTCGTCGAGAGGCCACACCGGGGTCGAGACGATAATCCTAATTAATAATTAATTACCACCGGAGACACTCCCGTACTTTTGTACCCTCTATTTCTCTCTCTCTCTCTTTCTATCTTATATTTGTTTTTTCCTGCCCCCTCTCGAACTGGAGAATAATGCTCGATTGAATTCTTCCTGCTATGGACACTAAATTATCCTAATTGTATTATTAATATTAAATAATAATAATAATAATATTATATAGAAATTTGTTAGAGATATTTTTATATTTAATTGTTTGTTTTGTTTTTTTAATATTAATTCTTTGCACTCGAGGGAGGGCTCCCTGGTATGGATAATAATTAAAATAAATAATAAATATATAATTTATTTAAATATTTATTTATTAATTAATTAATTTATTTATTTATTATACCAGAAAAAAAATAATAATTTATATATTAATAACACAAGGTTAATATATAGTTAATCCTACAATAGGTAAACATAGTTACCTGTACATAAGTGTAAATTTCATCGAACGTAAACGCACAGTGATGGTGGTGGTGGTGGTGGTTGAGATTCGAGATTGAAATAAATAACCATTTAGACTTTTCCAAACGTCGTCGTAATCGTAGTCGATGAGAAAGAACTAAGCTCGTGTATCTTATAAAACGTTTGCAAAAGAAAACGCACATGTTACCAAAATAATAAAAAATAAAGTACAGTAGTTATGTATACATACGTTAGATAGAAAACACACACTTTGGTAGAGAAATTGCTCGAGTTTTACGAGATTTCATAGTAAAAGAGGAACGGATGAGTTAGAAAAAGAGAAATGAGAGAGAGAGAGAGAGAGATAGAGAGATAGAGAGAGAGGAATATATGAGGAAGATATGGGAGTCAACGACATTGCTTGAGAAAAAGAGATAAAGATAGTAAGATTGAAAGAGGAAGATATTTTCTTTCTCTCTTTTTCTTTTTCTGTTCGCTTCAGGAGTCTCAACCAACTGGAGAGATTTTTCTTTCGTACAGGATTCTTCTTTCTCTCTCTTTCTTTATCTCTCTTTCTCTCGGAAAGTTGTACGCGTGCGTCGGTAGTACATGGCGGAGTCTCGAACCCCCCAGGAGCACCCCAGTTTGTCAAGTCGACCCTTCGGTGTCGCTTACAAGACGGCAAA